AGCTTTGAGAGAGAGAGTAGCCAAAAGGCAGACGCGCGCAAATCAGAAACTCTGATGCTGTTTAACTCTGCAAGTAGACTTCGCGGTTTAAGTACCTCTCCTCCTCATTAAGTATTCAGAATGATTCCAAAACTACGTTTTGGAAGTTTTGGAAAAATATTAATCGGCGAAAAAAATCGCCGGAAGTAGTAAGTTGAAGTTTTTGAAGAATTAGACAGGAAAGGAACTTTAACTTAAAATTTAACTGTTAAAAAAATTAACATAATCCTTACAAACTAATAAATTTTTAAAGAAGTTACCTCATGCAGTTATATGTCTTCATTTTTCTAACCATTTTTAGACTGTACTTTTCATAAATTATCAGTAAAACTTTATGAGAAGTGTTGATTTATTAATAACCAAGATTAATTATGTAAATTTTAAACTCTATTAAGTTCTGTAGGTTACATTAATTTTCTAGTTATTTTCAATTTTTAAATGTTTCCTTCTGATTTTTTCAGCAAAAATTTATTAGTTCTTTCAAAATACTTGTATTAAAAGTAAAAGAATCAATCTTTCCTTCTTGCGCTCCCAAATCATCATGCGAACACGCATTTACAGTTTTTAAAATCTGAAAACGCATGCGTGCGATGTCATCGTCATGTGATGATTTTTATGTACTTTGTTTTTACCACGATATTTTAGACGACGATGTTTTTAAACTGTGAAGTTTCGAACCGCTTTTTTTTCGATAACGATATTTTGTACCACGATGTTTTAGAACTGCAATGTTTTCTCTTTGCTTTCTTTTCTCCCACGGCGTTTTCGCCTAGCGTTGTTATCTTAGCGACGTTTTTGTCCGCGATGTTTTCGGCGGACACCATTGAAAGATGTGTACTTCTTATAAGAAAATCAAATTATACTATAGGAAATTTAATAAAGTCATCGATCCGAGCATCAAGAAATTATTCTCAAACGGGCTAACACTTAAATAACTTATAAAGACCTTATTTTATTCTAACCAATTATTTTTAGTTCGACTTTCCTTTCCCTTCTGATTTACGTTTCTGCCGGAATGTAAATTTTAATGACGTAGTATTCAAAATCTAAGTGCGTTCAGAAGTAGTATTTAAGTTGCGTTTCAAGAGTTCGTCAGGAGGAGTAGCGGAGTTAGTTCCGAGTTTATGATATTGAAATTAGCTCTCTAGTTGACGTTAGACACCTCTCAAATTAGACTGATATTATAGACTCGACTTTGCTATGCCCAGTCAATTTAGCAATTTAGAAAACCAAGAAGCCAGTCGTTTAGCCATTTTATTTATTGTTATTTTTTACATTTTTATTTTCTGTGCAATTTAGTTTAGCTCCCAAGTGGTGGTTGTATTGGCGAGCACCGAGTGCGTGCATCTTGGTAAATTTAGTTCAAATGAAAAGGTTATTTAAAAACCTTGTTCTGGTTTCTGTTCTTGAAAGACATAGCGAGATTTCGTAACTTTTTCTTCTACGTAGAGTCTACAATTCATGCTTCCAAAAAAACATTGTCTCTATAACCTACAGGCGTTTAAAATTAAGTAGAAAAGGAAACTTATTTTGGCAAAACATACCTTAACAGAAGGTTGCTTTTTTGTCTATAAATTTTACATTGATGCGTTTCTCTTTTATTTGATTATCTGCAAAAATTCTGATAGTAGTTTACATCCAGAATATTTCTTTCCGTTTTAGCTCATGGAGTTTTAACTAACTTTCTGTTTAATATAAGAACTAAGCATTAAAGTAAAGAAGTCAACCAATCTCCGAGCTTCATGTCGTGAGCATTCAAATGTTAAATCTATAATTTCAAACCTACTTTCATACTACTACATTTGACCATAAAATTTCAGAACTACTACATTGCGCATAAAACTACTACATTTTCAAACTACTACATTGCGCATAAAATTTCAGAACTTTCCTGTTAAATCACACTGCCTGAAGTCTTCAGATTTTTTAATCTGAATAACATTTATAAAGTCTGAGGTCTAACGAAAATAAAATTAACAGCATTCACCTTGGAAATATTCTTCAGTTAAAAATCGATGAATAAAAACTTTTCAAGAAGTTGAAAGAAATAAATTTTATTTTAAGGTTGCCCTTAAGATTTTAACAAGATATATGAGCGGGTATGAAAGGAAGGCATGATGATATATTGTAAATAAAAATAGCTATTTAATAGAAATAGCTATTTAGTGTATAGAATTATTAAAGAACAAATTACATGTAAAAATCACATTTTTCAACGTGTTGAAAAGATTACTATTCTTTTGACAATATTAAAAAATTCAGTTTATTACTTATGAAAATATTGTCACAGAAAAATGGACGAAATCCAGAATCGGGTCTTCGGTGATTTTAGATTTCGGAAATTTTTGGATTTTAGATCATCAGTTTAAATTTAGTGAGATGACTTATAGGCAGGGCTTCACTTACTGTATACGTTAGACAGAAAAATGCTACCCTCTCACAATCACTCAAGGCCCGAAAGTGTGATCTCAACACCAATACAAATCAATCAATGTATTGTCATTGGCCACGGTGGGACTCCCTAGCCAGTAATAAGTGTCTGAATGTGACATGCAGGCATCTCAGTCGGGAGAAAAATTCGCATTTATGGCACATTTGATTCCTTTTATTGAGTGTTTTGTATTATATTAACCATTCCTTAAACGTATGGGGGTTTTTTTTAATTATTTATTTATTGGCTGGTGGTTTCGGATACTGAACGTCCGAATTTCAAACTTTGCACTGTATTACAGGGGGGGATTCAATTAATATCTCACACTCAAAATTACAAACAAGGCCAGGAGCATTGACATGGGGCATATCTGCAGAAAAACTTGTGGAAACTGGAACAACAGTTCAAGACTTAAGAGATCTACTCTGAAATATGACAATGAGATTAGAGAAAATATTGCTCTCAAACATGACATCTACACTGTCCTTCAAGAATCTAACCTGCTTCTTACACCAGGGTTTCTTAAACCTTTTTTCAGTTGCAAACCCTTTATATCAATGAGATTTTTTCGCGACCTCCAGGACTCCAATATATTTACAAAAATTTTGTAGGACCCCATAAGTATTGCTCAAATCCGACAGAAGCATGAGTGAAACTAACTTTCTGTTTAATATAAGAACTAAGCATTAAAGTAAAGAAGTCAACCAATCTCCGAGCTTCATGTCGTGAGCATTCAAATGTTAAATCTATAATTTCAAACCTACTTTCATACTACTACATTTGACCATAAATTTTTTCACTTATACTGTAATATACTATTGCAGTTTGTCATTAACTTTAATTTCTAATTTAAGACATAGAACAATGTGAAAAATTTAAATAAGTAACAGACGAAATGGCAGCGTCACGTGCAAAGCCAGCAAAATGAAAGTTTATGTTATAAAAAGAATGCGTCGAAACGTTTTAGTTTTTTTCTTTGTCTATTATCTTATCTTTATTTATTTTCAGATACATTGTGTAAAAATATTTGGTAATTGTAAAATTATTATAATAAGTTAAAGAAATATCACAACTGTTAAAATTTTTGGCGACCCCCTGCTGCAGGTCCCGCGACCCACAGTTTAAGAAACCCTGTCTTATACCGAAATAAATCTCGATCTAGTAGAAGATTGTATAAGAAAGGAAACTGAAGCTTTTATCAAGGCAAAAGGTACTCGAACAATTGAGTCATTTTTGGAAGCTGATTTAGTAAAAATTTACACAGACGGTTCATCGGATGAGACTATCCAGCAGGGTGGAGCCGGTATTCATATCACTGTACCAAATGGAGCAACTATACTCCAAAGCCATGGAACAGGCAACATCGCTTTCAACTTCACATGTGAATTAAGAGCAATCCAAGAGGCCCTGAGAATTTACATCCAATTAAATGATAATGATAAAGCTAGAGGACTTTTAATTTATTGTGACTCTAAAGCTGTCCCAGAGGCAATAATGAAAGGGCATTCAAGACTCGCCCAGAATGTACACCAGCACCTAGAAACAATCAACCAGATGGGAAAGACATGCACTGTGTAATGGATACTTGCACATTTTTGGAATCGATGGAAACAAGGCAGCTGGTGAACTGGCTAAAGGTGCAAGAAATCTCAACAACTCAATCCCCGTCACTCTTGAAAATGCTAATGTTAATGCCAGATATAGCCTCAAAGAGAAATCTATTAAGAAAACCATTGGATATGTGAGGCTGATGCAAACAGAGAAATTACAAAGACCATTACTAGATTGAGAACCTGCCATTTTAGAGGAATAAAAATTGATGAAGATGGTGCCAGATCATATCGAACTTGTAGAAACTAGCCCGAAACTTAGCCTTCTACAGTACACGTCTTCACCTGTCCCGCAATACTTGCAGCTTAGCAAAGTTTGGGGCAATTTCCTTTCCAGGGACAGCTGTATAGTGAAAAGATTGTGAAAGTGGCAAAAGCTGTGATTTCCACCCATGATCCGTGGAAAATGACATTTGACTTCTCAAAGGACACGACACCAACCAACCGAACAACCAAGTTAATTTAAATTGATGGCTAGAGTGCTTGGCGATAATTTCTCCAGATAACCATAAAAGAAACTGAACTGCTGAAATGTTAGACGTGTACCAAAAGTTTCAATCAATACCTCTCGTACAAAACTTAATTTCCTTAATGTTTAATATACTAAAGTTTAATATACTAAACATTAAAAGTAATGTTTAATATACTAAACATTCAAATAATCGGAATTTAACAAAATGTTATATCTTTGAACTTTAACAACTTTTGAATAAAGTTATTAAATTTCTTCTTTTAACTAAAAATAATAATTTGAATAAACTTTTAATTAAACTTTCAATAAAATTCCAATACAATTTTGTTAAAACAGTTAAAAACCATTTAAAGGGAAATTCATACGTATTCTTCCCGAATTAAACAAGTTAAAAGATAAATTAACATTAATTACCTTTTTATGCATCTGGCAGTTGTAGTATTCCCGGCTGTTTATGTTTGTATATAGTCTTTTGGCATTTGTACTCAAACTTAGTTTTGAAGTGTGTTTTTCGTTTTATGCTGCTCGTATTTTTTAGGAAAGCAAAATTAAACTTAATGCATTTTAATATACATTGTAAATACTGGAAACTGTACCATGGGAAGAGTTGTTGTATTTAAAAATGGATCGAGGGTTGATGGAAAGGTAATTTAGTGGGCTGGTTGTCAAATGCTTTTTACTTGAAATTTAGTGTATATGTGTTTCTTATGTTAGAATTTCATCCTGTGGTGTAACATTTATCGTAATCTTCAGATCTTTTCCTGATTACACAAAATGAAGCGTACTGCCAAATGTTTTAACTTTTCGTGAAAATTATTTCATGAAATTTTGTGATACTTATACGTAAAGTTCTGCGAGCTTTAGATTGACGCATCAGCTCTAAGAGTAATATATATATATATATATTATATATACAGTATAAGGAAAAAGTATTTGAAGAATACATATTTATGCAATTATTTTTTTGCAAATGATGTAAATTAAATTTTTAAATATTAACTAGTTCAAATTACCTTATATAATAAATAAAAAATAACTATCATGTAATCTTGTCACAACAGCGAAAAACGAAATTGTGCAAATTTCCAAGGGAGGGAGGAATATTTGAATAACCAAAGAAAAAGCTGAAAATTGACTTCAAATACTGAAAGTTAAAGAAAAAGAAATGCAGTTTGTTTTAGAACATTTTATTAGTCTTATAAGTTCTAGTTCCCTTTTTTTTTTTATTATAAATTTATTATTTTAGAATTTGGGGAAAGCAGATTGAGTTGACAGTAGTAATGTGTGATAAAATAGTAAATTTAAGAAATAATGGCTCCTTGTATTGTGAAATAGCAAAAATTATAAGATTAAATTTATCAACTGTTTAGTATGTGATAAGTAAATGTAAATCAAGTGGGAGTATCAAAAACAGAAGAAAGATGACAGGGCAGCCAAAAGTTCTTTACAGTAAGAGAAAGCAGAATGATTTAAAGATAAGTTAAAAAAAAAAAAAATTTTTTTTTGTTATTATTGTAGAAATATGTAATGACCTTGCATCTTGTTCAGGTATTTATGTTAACTTTTAACAGTAAGAAATTACCTACATAAATTCAGATATAAGCCATTAGTGCAAGAAAAAAAGATCTATATAAGTGAAACTAATCATAAGAAGAGGCTTTATTTTGCAAAAGAATATATAAATAAGCCTTTAGAATTTTGGAGAAAGACTTTTCAGTGGTGTAACAAGTAAATTTGGTTGATCTTTAGATTATGGTAACTTGGCAATTTTTTGGCGACCAACTCTCATACAGCAACCCTCTATTTTTTTCCCCCGCCGCCATTTTGTCTTCACGAAGTAAAGACATGTTTCTTTTCTTTTTATCTACTGAACACTTCTTCCAACAATCTACTAGCCGATAGAAATTTTATCTAACAAAACTGTTTAATCATGACAAATATTTACTGCAAAATTGGGAAAAAGTGCACAATACTTACGCGTTTTTCAAAATAACACATACACATAAACCATGTACACGTCGACTTATTTTTACTTAAAAAAACATCCCAGAATTACACAAAAATGGCATTGCACACACTCTTCACTATATCCATGTACACTGCTTTTTTCTCATAAATTAGAAAAATTTCACGAAAATACATGACAATTTTCTGAATCTTTAAACCCGGTAAAAAGAACATATATGAAATTACCTGATCGCGAAAAAGTATATACCCTTTCCAAATATGAACATTTCCACATATAAAATAAATAAAATATCTAAAAACTTTTACCTCTAAATCATCTATTATATTATAAACGTCACCAACGAATTCATACCGCAAGCATTACAAATACTTAGTGTCAAATATTTAAATTATTTCCATGCACGTTTACTTCAACTAAAACGTATACCAAATTCCTACAAACATAAAATTCACAAAATAACTATCATTTAATTAAAATATAATTAAATTCAAAAACACTACTTAAAATATAAATAAGCACATACATTAAATTAATAAAAATTAGCTTACAATCCTAATTACTTTAAACTAAATCATTGCTAATAACAATTTTCCCAATAATACCAAATTCCTTTCCACCTTACATTTACAACAATGCATAAAAAGAATATCTTCAAATAATTAAAAATACTAACTTACCTAATCTTCTTCAGAATCTTGATTACGTGTCCGATAAACTTTTCTTATTTCTGTTTCAGGATCTTTAAAATCACACTTATAGTTCACAGCAAGGTACCAGGTAAAATAAATAACTTAATAAAACATCTTTATTTCTATCTCGCACAACCTTAAAGAAACACTTATTACTACCCCTTTCAATCCCATTAAATACCCATTTCGAATTCACTTTAGTTAGGGCCATGGGATCCAAAAATTAACGAACACTGTTTCACACAACACAGAATAAAGCCAAATACAAAATTTCCAGATTTTTTCCCGATTAAAGAACCGTAATTCGTCCATTAATATCACATGACATATCCCATGATCTCTCATTTCCCTCACACAAAATAATGCGTAATCGGAACTGAGTACTGCTCACATTATTACCAAAGTCCCAGGTAGTAACCTTTATCGCCTCCAAAATGTCGCCAAACTACCAGTTACCATATTCTAAAGATCAGCCGTAAATTTTACTTGTTTGGATCTGATAGCAACAAAACTGTTTGGAGAAAAAATAAAACTGCTCTAAATCCTAAAAATGTGTGCCCAGCTTAAAGCATGGTGGTGGAAGTGTTATGGTGCAGTGTAGTATGAACTGGAATGGAACTGGTAATTTGGCTATAATTGAGGGAATTTTGAATGCAAGAAAACATGACAACCCTTAACATGCAGCTAGGGATACTTCTTATCTAAAGTTTCCCAAAGACTGAACACTCCACCCTAATCACTTGATCTCATTGTGGTATTTTTTGGATCAAGAAGCTAGACAATATAAATTTTCAAATAAAAATGAATTCAGAATTATTCTTTTGAAAATATGGGAATATGTATCATCAGATCTAACCAATAGCAGAATCAGTACCTAGAAGACTACAGGCTCTAATAGACAACAATGGACTTTTTACATAATATTAAATTTTAGTTTTAGTATTGGTTTCATTGGATTTTAAGTTATAATTATTTATTTCAAATACTATTTCCCCCCATAAATATTTGCATATTTGTATGTTATTAGTTACAACAAACACACTATTTTTTATTTATTACATATGTTATGTGAACTGGTTATTATGTGAGAATATAATTTAATTTACACCATTTGTAGTAAAATTATTGCACAAATTTATATTGTTCAAATACTTTTTTCTTCCACTGTATTTCTGAATTTAAAGCATGCCGAAATGGTACACTGATTTTATGAAAAGTAATCAAATATATATAATAAGAAACATATATCAAAGAACAGCCCATTCATTTCTATTTGCATCTGCTTCTGGTTATTATTTCACCAAATAATTTTCTAACGAGAATACGTTCAATTTTTTCACACAGCGGAGTCAAAATAAATTAATAGATTTACTGTTGTTAGGAACATATTAAGGATAGTTTGCAGTTTGTATGTGTTCTCTCCTATATAATTCCCTCAAAGGTTTCCTAGTTCATTAAAAAAAAAAAAAAAAAAGTTAACCTCACATTGCAACGATTATTTTTCCATCTAGCTAAAAGTTACTGTACTCAGTTAAAGTCTGTTTTCCATATTGAAAATTTAGAATTATGTGTATTGATTATCCGTTTTAATTTGAAAATAATGTTTTATTGTTTTTTGCACACATCAAAAATCTGAATCAGATTTTTGATTTATATATATATATATTCACACACACATAATTGTAAAATATAAATTATGACACTAAATTATTAACAATATGCAATTAGAGCTTTAAATTTGCTTTTTTAAATTATGTATGTCCCCTTGCTATTTTCTGCAGTGTGACGGTCTGGTAACCAATCAAAATTCATAGGAAACTATGAAGCCAGAGCTTATAAATAGCCACTCTGCATCACCACCCCCCCTTTTTTTTTTTTTTTTCGTTTCTTCATTTTTCCTTGCTTGCAATTGCCTGAATAACCCACATCTCTCACTTTGCCATCTTCTTTCTGTAAAATATAAATAACTTATATAAAAAATTGTGGAACATGTTTAACATCCCTAGAGTTGTACCAGTTTTGAGGAAAAACATATTGCTGATAATTGTTCCTGTGAAAAATAAAAATGGTGCCTTTTCCATTAAGCCAGTTGTGATTTCCATTCCATTCATCATCTGAGTAACAGTCTTGGCCATGATTCAAGTGTGATTTGGGTTTCATCTGCCTCCCTTCCCCAAACCACATCATCACATACATGTCTATGTACACACACTCACACTTTTGACCAAAGCCCTTACCTGGCCCTTATTTTCCCAGCTGTTAGCAGTAGACATTTGCTTCCAGGTACAAAAATATTCTAAATGATGCAAATATTTATTTTTTAGTATTTCCAAATTTAACGAAATCAGTTTTGTAAAAATTAAGAAATCTAACATTCTATGATTTCCTCCAATCATCATATTTAGGATAATTTTGTATTTATTATAAATAATAAAACACAAAATCTGTGACTCCCATATGATTAAAATTGACCAAGATGTTTATCGAAGCAGGAGATCATATTCAGGAGCTGTATGTTAATTGAAGATTGAAATGTTTGCGTTTGTACATAACTAAAAGTAAAATATCAATTTAAAAAAAGATTTCTTACATTAAGTGCTTAAGGGATGAACATTTCTATGCATATTACTGTGAAAAGTACTGATCTATATAAATTTTTGGTACTTATGTACCATCAACCATGAAATTGTTGCCATGCAGCACAATTTAGCACCAATTATAGATAAGCATGACATGGAAATAAATAATCGATTAGAATTTTGGACCTCTCTTCTACAGAAAAGCAAACAGTAGATTATTTTCAAAGTTGTGGAATTCTACCATCAATAAAAATATTAAGGGACATGATTTGATCAGCTGAATATGGCTGACAAAATGGTAATATTTTGGAACAATTACCTGTGTGAAGTTTGTACTCATAACATTAAAAAAAAAAAAAAAAAAAATTCTGGTAAAATTGGAAAGCTTAATAAAGTAGCAGACTCAAT